CACAACATTTTTTGAAAAGTCCGAGCAAGATCAGATAAAATTAGTACATACCTTAGAGTCATGAGGCCCCAAAATATTGGAAGTAGTATTTTCTCAATTCGATTTTCATTAGAGACAAGTTGAACAGTCCATTTATAAGCTCCATAATCAAAATTTTGTCCACTTTTAAGACAAGTTAATCTTGCATTAATTGTCTCTCCCCACATTAATCTATTTTTTTCCTTCACCAAATTACTTGTTCCATAATATATTGACTCTTCACATGCCAACATTTTTAGGGTACAACCTTTTGTAACTATGCATTGTTCTTTAAGACATTTGGCTGCCCTTTGAATACCTAGCAAGTACCAACATGCTCCCACAGCCTGCATGTTCGGGTTCAAAGTACGAAAGTCAAACTAAAGACGTACACATACATATGTGAATTATTCAAGTACTATAGATTTGAGAGTCAAATTTTGTCTCAATTTTGCATGTTAGGGTTCAGAGTACGAAAGTCAAACTAAAGCACACGTATGTGAATTTTGAGAGTCAAATTTTGTCTCAATTTGTGTGGCCTCCTTTTCAGATTTCGAAAGTCAAATGAATTTTTCTTTGATTGTGATTTTTTATATGCCATCAATTATTGGGATTATAGTACTTTTTACGTTGTTTCTGAATATATTTTTAAAAACTTAAAGATTTCATATGTTTGAATTTACGGTCAAAATAAAAAAATAAAAAACTTTCGAAATCTGAAAAGTGTCACATAAATTAGGACGAAAAAAGTATATATATTTAAAAACTACATATGAACAGACAACAGTATTGTAAATCAACAAAGTAATTAATTAAGTCTGATAATAAGAAAATGAGAAGTTAATTTAAAGTTCATGAGTTTATAAAGTAAAAAGATACATGATGACATTCGATTTTAATTTAAAAATTAAAATAGAAATTATAAATAAAAATAAAAATTATGTCATATTAAATGAAATAAAGATCGTAAAGTTTTATTTCACTGTAATAAAAACAAGAATATTAGCTACCAGATTTAATGTGTCACTAATTAAATAGTCAGTAGCTAACCAAAGATTTTTCTTTTTTAGAATAATTCATTTACTTTAGAACCTAATAAATTTCCTTTATCATGTACACATAATTATATTTTGTGGAGAATTTAAGTTATATACACAGAAAATTTAAAAACAAAGCAACGTAACTTATTATAACAGGTTATTTACTTTATTTTCCAGATTATGATATCATGTTTGTTTTACAACAATTATTATAATGTACATATAAAATTATAAATATATACTGTTAGTGCATAAAACTTACGTGTGATGCGACAAAATAAGCGATGATGTTAAGTGCAATTCCCCACCAAACAGTGCCAAAAATGTAGCCAGACAGATTCTGCATTCTTCTCAAGAGGCAAATTGAGTGATAGATTTTGGGAAGATATTGAAATAAAAATATAATTAATAAAACTGTCATCACTGTTGTTGTTAATCCTTTTTCCAATAGAATTGGGATCCCTACCCACATAACTAGCTGCAAAAAAAAAAAAATGAAAATTAATTAATCACGTAATGAATTTAAGTTATATATATTGATAATATAAAGCATTATTTATACTAGTTATCGACGAATTGTATCATGTGTTACATCTCTGGTAAAAGATTACGTTATTAGAGATAGAACGTTTTTATTAAGTATATCATAACCATATTATCTAAACATTCATGTGGTTAAAAATAACATATTTTTATTTAGTTAATTATATTTTTTAATATGTCTCTTTAATTATGTGAGGCCTGATTATTTTTCATAAATCAAGCATGTGATTATGAGATTTGAACTCAATGTCCTTATCTATTCTGATGCTATATAAAAGTGTGGCTATTTGATAAAAAAATATTATTTGCACTTACGTCAAATCTTTCAAAAAAATTATTATTAATAAAGAATCAGATATGCATCTATCGATATTTTAAATAGTTATTAAAAGAAGAATATATTGGTTTATATCACATGCAACAAAAGTAATGGATGACATGCAGGTTTTTTTTGTCATCTTTTAGTAAATAATTCATGCTAAAATCCAAAAATATATACATCACTTGATATCAAGTACTGATAATAGCAACTAAAAGGTATGTAAATTCTAATATATAAAAATTATAATTTTAAAAATTTAAAGGTAATAAAGTGAAACATTTAAGCCAAAATTGTTTCCAAATTCATAAAATGCAGACTAAAAAGGAAATAATACATCCCTATACAAGAAAAGATTATCATTAAGGGTAAAATTGAAAATCGTTACTAAATTATCTTTTTTTTTGTGTAAATATAAACTGAAACAACAGAATATATATATCATACACACATACAAAAAAAAAGAGTTCAACATATACACGACAACTTGTTAACATCTTAAATTCTCTGAAACAACATAATATATATATATCATACACACATACAAAAAAAAAAAGAATTCAACATATACACGACAACTTAAATTCTGAATCCGTTTCTGATAACGAGAAATTGAGTAAGAGAGAAAGGTAAAACTTACTCACCTGAGGTAAAGGTAGTATAACAAAGAGATCAAATAAGAAACCTTTGTTAGCCTTCAAGTATGGTATATTATTTGTTCTTCTATTTATCATCATCTTGAATTGCAACCACATATTGCATACATGAAAACCATCGTTGATACATCGTAAAACCGTCACGGTGACGGAAAACCACCCATCGACGAAAAGACACATACAATTTTCACTTATAGAAATTGTATAGAAAAAAAGTGGATCAACAAAAAGACCAATTGCACATACTAACAAGAAAACTCTATTCCATTCTTTAACCCATTGTGCTTTAGGGTCTATCAATTTACTTCTTGAGAATATCATGTTTAATCCAACTTTATTATTTCTGTCATCACGACCACCACCATTATATGGTTCATGGATTTTGTTGCACTCATTATGGGAGTACTCGTTTTCGTCTTCTTCTTCATCTTCATCTTCATCTTCATCGTCAGTATTAATACCATATGTATGTTCATGATGACTAGTCATTTTTAGTGTATCTAGAGGGTGTTACTACTAAAAACACGTGTATTGATCTTCTCTTGTGTTTGGAGGGTGTCACTATTAAAAACACGCGTATTTTTTCTCTTGTAATATTGGAGAGTGTTACTATTGGCTAGAAACTAACACATGTATTTTTCTCTTGTGTCAAGAGGGCATCACTACTAAAAACACGTGATTTTTTTTTATGGAATACAATCTAGAACCGTTTTTGATGGATTTTCTATGAAATACAAGATTTTAAACAGGAACGTCCATTGGAAATTCGTGAGATTGAAGAGAGAAAGGGTTGGCTTTGGGAATTGGAGAAGGGAAGAGAATAGAATATATGCAGAGTTTTGGGAGGTATGTAACAATGTGTCAAGAAGAAGATACAAATAAATTGAAGTTTTTTTGGAATATTTGATAGAGTAAGAAGACAAATTGGATAAAATACCTAAACTGACCCTTGGTAATTTGTAGTACTACATGTATCAACTAATGGAATTGAAAAAATAGATAAAAAAAATTTGGATTTAGTTATATATACGATGGACGAGATTCCTTTATCTGTAATCGGAGGTTTGGGTTTGAGTTTTGGGAATAAAAAAACTCCTAGTAATGGAGTACTTTCCCTTCTATGAACCCTATACACTGTGAATTTAAATTAGTCGAGTCGGTAAATTTCAAATATTAGATGATCATTAAACCTAGAATAAAAAATGATGAAAAAGAAAAGTTGGAAAAGGGTAATATTGGAAAAAAACAAAGGGAAAAAAGAGACAAAAATAGGGACATTTTTTTGTATATAAAAAAACAAATATTTGAAGGAAGGTGCAGAGGTTATGTCCTATACTCACAAATAAGTTTGAAAAACACAATTTCGAAGAACTTTCCTTGTTTTTGTTTGTTTGCAAATCAATTAATATGAAGGAAAAAAAACACTATCCTACGTTACTACTAGTACAAACATTACTATTAAATCAAATATCACTTTCAAAGAAATAATAAGTAATTATTAATAGAGACGTTAGGTACTTGAAGAGATAACCTAAAGATTTTTTAATCAATTTAAGTTATACACACTGACAGTATAATTCAAAGTAACATGAAACTGTAACTATAACATGGTATAGAGTGTATGGTTCGATTTTCCCATGTTAGGTTGGTCCTAACTCCTAATATTTTGAGGAAAGAAAGTTTCTTATTTCACGCTCACTAAAAAAAATATATAATTTACCAAGTTACCTCTATTTATTAGTTGTTTCTTGAAAATTAAGCATTAATAAGAAAAAAGTAGTTATTCAATACAAAGGTATAGTTGGAAGAATATAGTAGTACTAATTTTTTATCAGGAATTTTTAAAGCGACACTGATTTTGAGACAATGTTTTTTGCTAAAGTGATACTTATTTTGAAACGAAAGGAGTAATAAATAAGCAATTTCTCTATTTCAATTTATTTGTCTGATTTTGACTTGATACAGAGAGAGCAATAAATAAGTAATCTATTTGTTTTAGTTTATTTGTCTGATTTAACTTTACATAGAGTTTAAGAAAGTAAAATGACGCTTAAAACTTATACTCTTAAACTAAAAATATGTAAAATGTATCAAAATATCATTTAATCTTATGGTCTAACAAATATTACGTGAAAAGTTAAAATTAAAGAGTTTAAAAAAAACACATCTATATGTTTTGTGGTAACCAATATCTATGTTTGAAGGCTAAATTCAAATAGAAGAACACATCTATGTGTGTTTGTGGTAACCAGTAGTTGTTGATTTCAACTTTGAAACTCGGTGGGTAATGGACTCGCCCCTCTCTCTTCCCTTCTCCATATTTAACACAAACCATATGGATTAGAAAAAGAACACATATAGTATGCTTTTGATCAACCACTGAAAAGAACAATTAAGATGAAACAACAATCTTATGCCTCTCAATATTGCAACATACCAGATAGTAAAGTTGCAGCATAGCAATAAGATGAACATCACAAAATCAATCTGATACATGTCATTTACCCATTTTCATTGCACAGTTAGCAGAGAATGGAAGAGGTAGAGTGTGTACTATTTACATACAGGTTCAATCTTTTATCAGTAGAAAGCCTTCTTCTTTACATTTGCACGATTCGTGACTTCCTTTCTATTATCTAGATTCACCTGCATTGAAAATATTTCAGATCACAATAATGGTAAAAAGTTAGTGAGAATGAATGAATGATTGATATGGGAATGAAATATATCAAGAATATATTGGCATGTCTAATGGCGTTGATGATTATAAAGTTCATAGGAAAAACATAGTGAATAATGAAAAGGATGTACCATAGCAAAACTATGTTGCTCAAACTCTTCAAAAATGGCACCGAGTGCACGTTGGATCCTCAAAAATTAGTACATTTTTGGAGGATCTGACGTGGGCGCGGCAACATTTTTGAAGAGTCCAAACAACATAGTAGCAAAAGATGAGAAGGAAAAGACGCCAAAGAACTTTGATGATCAAAAACACCTAGCAACAGAACGACTGACGAAGACATTGATTGGACTTCTTAGGTGAGTCATCCCCCTAGAGTTTTAATTGAACGTTGGGATTGAAACCAGTACCAAATCTAACATTTTCTCAGACATTTCAGCTTTCTAGTCAAAAGCCCCTAATAAGTGATACTCCCTCGTGTCTCATTTTATGTGAAACACTTGCCTTTATAGTCTCCTAAAGGCTAAAACGGATCACCTTTTTATATTTAGATTATATTTAAATTCTCATTTTATCCTTAATATCATTGATTTTATAGTCATAGAAATGTCTATGGCATGTTTAGGACTCTTGCACTCTAACACAAAATAAAGCCAGAAGCTACTAAACTATGATGGATACAAATGCTAAGTTCTGCAACATATCTTCAAACTTAGCTCCACCGCAATAATTTGGATTTACAGTTCGAACTATTGATATGTTTTTTATCTTTTATACCAGTGAAAAAGTAAAAATATTGAGCAACAATAAGTGGCTAAGAGTAAAAAGGTTACCATAAAACCACTCGACTTTGTGCTCTGGCAGCTTCTTTTATTCTCATTTTTGTAACTTGAGAATTTTGTACTACACCCCTGGTTGTCTTTGGCAACTGACTTCTGGCTCATACCCATTCTTTCAACAGCATTCTCCTTACCACTGCTCACAACCCTTCTACAATGGCTACTTCCAATTCTTTCACTAGGCTTTGAGACCAAAATTGAGGCTACACGTCCATTGGCTCTTTGAGGAACCAATGCTTTTCTTTGTACATTAGTCGGATGAACCTATAACAAAACACACAATTTGGATAAACAAATCAGTTTACCAATGGTTAAATGCGGCAAGAAACGCTAGTAATGCACCCCTCCCACCAAGCAGAAGGAAGTCAATTTATAAAAAATGCTTGTCCGGCTACAATGTTTAACACTTAGAAATAAACCCTTGTCAATCCCCAAACTTGGCAGTAAAATAGAAGGCAAAAGTTTTCCTGGCCAAAACATAATCTTCTAAATATAAAAGTTGTTGAATGATGAAAAAAGAAAAAGGAGGAAGTTTTCCATATAAAGCTTTTGAACGACTTTTCTGGTTTCTCACCTTTGGTCTACTAGTTTCACTGGCAAAAGACGAAGAAACAGATCTTCCACTAACCATTTTAGGGATAGAAGTTCTGTTATGAGCTTGAACAGGAACCTTGGACTTATTAGCCTGTTTCGCTTCTACAATTGTAGTTACATTTCTGCTATCTGGAGTTTTCTCTTTACTTTCTCTCTCAGTTTCGCATTCCCTTTCTTTGTAGGGAATTGAAGAAGATCCTACACTCGATTTACTTGAGGAAGATTTCCGACCTTCTGATTGCCTACAAACATTTACCTCCATCCTTGATGCTTGTCTTGTAACACAACTTTTCCTCAGACTTACTCTTAGAGATGACAATAGCCCAGTAGTTTGACCAAGTACTGGACCAGACACTTCAAAGGACTTCTGTCCACAAGCTTCAGATGTAATGGTGCTTGAAGAATCGCTAACACACAACTCTTGCTTGTAACACTCTTCACCATGCTCTGATGTAATGCTGCTGTTTATTGAGCGGGTTTTGTCACTATAGACAGCCAAAGAATTCGAGCTAATCTTTATATCCCTGGAATTCAGAGCTTGACAAGCAGAATCTGAGTCTAAAGCTGCAGAGCTTGTTAATTTTTTATGATTTGTCTTATGCTCTACTACTTTATCAGCTTCTAAACCCCCTTTACTTAAGTGCTTTACTGGATGTTTCTTATCCAAAGTAAGTGTCTGATCTCCTTGACTCCACTGCCTGCTTCGGAAATCTTTGCCTCTTGATCTTGAAACTGAAGGTGGGAGCTTAGGAGAAGATGATCCCTGCATGCCATGCTCCAGGTTTATGGAACTCTCTCCTGAGCGAGAAAATGCAGACTTCAACTCTCGAGAAGAAGCCTGGTGAAACCTGAAAGCTCATTCAACTTAGAGATACCACAATACTATAGTGAAACTGCACAAGTTTGCAAAAACAGAAGATGCTTACGGATGGCTTATGTGGAACCATTCATCGTCCCTGCAACAAAAAGATGAAAATGCTGGATTGAAAAACTAATTTCCCAAGAAACCAGCATAAAGTTGAGAAACCCAAACAAAAATACAGCCACTCACATGTCTTTATAGGCAGACTTACATTCCAAGGTAAGGTCCACCCACACAGGGGCCTCAATTTGATCCTGCAGATATCAGCATCAGGAAAACATCACAACCATAACCAAATAACCAAAATGCATAAGGCCCTTACAAACCATTGTAACAGTTTCAATCGCTATGGACTATGGCCACATTAAGTTACACTTACAAGGTGACAGAAAAAGAGAAGTTACGTCAAAATAACAAATCAATCAAACAAACTACACATCAATCCCAAACTGGTTTCACTCTAACTATATAAATCTTATATACTCACATTCCATTCTATCTGAACCTATTTAAACCCCAATACTAAATAATTTATCTTTTCTTTGTTCATGGCGAAGGAACAATTTTGTAAGAACGTTTTGAATGAACAGGTACCATTGGTGACAATCAAATAAGAAAAGGTAGTCTGAACATAAACCTAAACCAAAACCACAGCAACTCGTAAGCTATCGGGAGATGAGCAATGCAAAAGCAGGACTGCTAACACAAGCTAAGAATTGGTCCAAAACAACTCATTAAAGTGAGTACCAATAAGAAATGCGAGAGGAATTTCCATTCTTTTTTTCTATACAATCCCATTTCAACCAGGTGAAACCCATAACATCCACCACAAAACAAACATCTCAACAACAATTACAACAAGCTAACAAGGTCTTAATCCCAAAACCACAGTGATTCCGAAAGCTATTGTAGATGAAAGATAAACATAACGATTGCTAACACAAACAAAGAACCCAAAAAAAACGACTAATTAGGCCAAAACAGCTTTCGAGTAAACAAGTACCCTTTAGATTGCTTGCTTTCCAACGGAATAGGGCTTGGTGGTAGTCTGAAAGACAAGGTCTTTTCGTAATACTAGTCTTATTCATGTAGTGTCTGGCTTTTGGTATGTGTTATCATCTACTGTTTACTATGTTTTAGGTGATCGCACTATGTTGCTGGTGTTGTTATTCCTTTCATGTATGCTCTGCATGGCTTTCCTACTAGTTGTCATGTTTCCTCCACCACCGTTTTTCCTTTCCATTACTCTTTGATTTGCTTCACTTGAGTTGAGGGTCTCTCGGAAAAAACCTCTCTACCTCCATGAGATAGGGGTAGGTTCTCCATTCACTCTACCCTCACCAGACCCTACTTTGGTGGAATTTCACTAGCTATGTTGTTGTTGATGAGTACCCATGAGAAATGCCATAGAAAATTCCATTTTCTTATTCAATACAAACCCATTTCAACAACGTAAAATGGGTCTCAATCCTAAAACCAAAATGATTCATAAGCTAAGTGATGCAAACTTATGAATGCTAACACAAACAAAGAAACCCCAAATCAAAGCAAGTTCCAAATGAGAAATGCCAGAAACATTTCCATTCTCTTTTTCTATACAAACCCATTTCAACTACATGAAATGGGGTATCAACCTCGTATTTCAGCAAAAAAATATACAACCACCAAGAGGATTAAACAGAAAAAGTTGTTAAAGCAATAAAAGATATACCAGAAACGCCCAGTGATCGAACTGTTCGTTGTGTTTCTTGGATAAATTCTCAACCCCATTGGCTCCACGATCTGCAGTGGGAAGTTTGTTTGACGGTTTTCTCAGACCCATTTGAGACTTCATCGGAATCTGTGAAATCTCCGGCCAGTTTACTGTCTCTCCGGTTCCATTTTGGCCTTCTTTTCAAATTGGAGGGATTTATTCAAAAGAGCAAATTGGCACAAGGTCCTTGAAAGTTTCAAAAAGTACAATATAATCCTCTTCTTTTTCAAAGTTTTATTTGGGTTTTTTTTTCTTAATTTTTGGTACATTGAAAGATATTACTCGCCCGCCCATTTTATGTGACATCATTTGACTTAACACATTGTATAAGAAAAAAAGAAAGATTTTTAAAATTTGGGATCTAAAACAATCATTAGATATTTGTATAAGGGTAAAAGAAGAATTTTAAAGTTAAATTATTTCTAATTATAATAAGGTGACATTCTTTTTTGGACGAACTAAAAAGAAAAGGATGTCACATAAAATGAGATGGAGGAAGTAAACTACTTAAAATCGTGCATAAGCTACATTGCTCGAATAAGCAAGAAGCAAAAACGTCATTTTATTGATAGCGTCCTCTCATGCTATCAAATATTCTCTGTGGCTGTGATCTTCATTCCTTATATCTCTAGATATGAATAATAGTCGTCTTGTTGAACTTCAACAATTATTCGCAATCTTCAATAATAGCTCTAAGTGGGTGAAACTATATGTTTTTCTTTTGGGTGAGCATGATAACACGTAACCAGTATGTTTCTGCTTTGAATTTTGTGTATCACCTTTTTTTACTAGTTTGAGCTCTTGTTTGATACTCCATATTTATATAGTAAGACTTGAGGTAGATCTCTATTTGTGCTTATTAGCTATTGTAAAAAGATCGCCCAAATGTTTATGACTAAATTAAGATATTGAATAACAAAATTTAGTATTTTGATTGAATATATCTCAAATCTCAATATATAAATATGTATTCATATTTACACATCTTAATCTTCATCGAAAGAAAGTGAGGCCTAAGTTGCTTCAAACTCAAAGCAAACATGATATAATTTTAGTGCTAATTTATTTTACTGTGGAGGTTAGTTATGAAAATTAATCGATCTGAATAGTAAGTTAACATATAGCGGGGATAGCTCAGTTGGGAGAGCGTCAGACTGAAGATCTGAAGGTCACGTGTTCGATCCACGTTCACCGCATTATTACTTTTTGATTTTTTTTTCTTTTTTCATATTTTTTCTTCGATTGTCTTATTTGATCATCTTTTTGATTTTTTATGCGTTTGAATCATGGAAATGATTTTTTTTCATATTTTTTCTTTTTTCATATTTGTTGTTCAATTGTCTTATTTGATCATCTTTTTTATTTTTTATGCATTTGAATCATGTAAACAATAATTAATGTCTGCTAAAGTAGAATGCATATTTTGTGTTTTTTTTTCCACCCCTTCTACGGTGAGAGGGATGATTTATTTTATATAAAGGTCTCATTTACGCACACTTGACTATTCTACTAAGGACCTACTACTTTTCACCGGCAAAATATACTGTTCAAGCCAACTTATCCACATTATCCACACCTCGCTACTCCACATAAAAAACCTACTACGTCCCACCCAGCACAGCACATGTATCCTTCCTTCTGGACAATCCACAAAGTAGCATCTCATTTCATTTTTACTGCTTAGCCCAAAGGGTTCTACTGGATACATCAATCAGTCCAAAAATATACAAGTATACAGCAATAGCAACAACTTACTTAGTAATCCCACAAGTGGAATCCGGAAAAGGTAGACCTTACTCCTACCTCGTGAAGGTAGAGAGGTTATTTCCAAAAGACCCTCGACTCAAGTGCATCAAATCAAAATAGTTGTGAACGAGGATCCAAAAATACATAAGTAATAGTAAGCAAAATGCAATCATGTTTTGATACTCATTTGAGTTGTAAATTAAATCATTCTTCTGCAGCTGCAACTGATCTATCACAAGTTCTGCAAAAATCTATGGATGTATGTTCAAGAACCTAACATAGTCTACAAACAAACATAATCACAAACAGGACTAGAACTATCTAAGGAGAGAGTGGATCCTTTCGATCGGAGCACACTACATTCCTCGGTCTCCGCTAATTCTGCTATACTAAGAACCCATAGTTGGGAAAATGAGTTTCTATCTATACATTTTTCACACACAAAAGACAACGAAGAAGAAGAAGTAGTAGTTATCTTTTGCTCTTCTTTCCCCACCAATTTCTACGAGTTTTCTCTGCTTCTGAATAACCAAGCTTGTGTACCTTTGACTTTGTCTCCTTTAACCGAGCCTTGTAGTCTTTCTTCCATTCGTCAAACTTGTGTCTGAGTCTTCGAAAATCTTCTGCAGGACTAGTAGACTGTAACTGCCCTGACTTCAACTGACTAATTGCCATGGCTTCGTCATCAAAATTTTGTTTTCGTAGCTCAAACTCCCTGCTAAGGTAATTGACTACACATAAACCACCATTAATCTCTCTAATACCTCCAAAATCTACACCGTTGCTAGCATATTCTATAGGAGTGCTGCCCCCAGGAGTGCGAGTGCCCATAGTTGTTGTAGTGTCTTCAGATTCATAACCGCAAGGAGATGGAGAACCTTCAGGTTTTCCAGGGTGACCGGCAGAATTGTCAACACCAAGGCTCTTCTTGGCTGAAACCAAACTTGCCTGCCAAAGCAAAGCATTTGATGTAAAAGACGTTAGCAAATTTATCGTTCCTGTATATGGAATATCAAGAACATATGCATATGCTCCACACCCGAAAGCAAATTAAAATAACATTAACCGCCCAAGTATCAACTTCTGAATAAAAAACTCTGCTCAGATTTATTTGTTTGCTCCCCCAGGCCCCAAGTGCTTCTTCCACTGGGAAAGAAAATATGTTTGTCTGTTCAATGCCGAAGAAGCATCATGACTAGATGCACGTTCGTTATATCATAATAGCTTTCAAGTCATTGACAAAACAGGATTATGGTTAGCAACTACGGAGAGCTTCACATGGCTGATTTTGCATCGAAATTTGATGGACCTAATACGTCTCTCTATTGTAAACCAGAACCATTAGACTACAGCACTAGTAAGAAGACACGACAATCAGTAGAAACTCTCTCTTCTCTATGATCACATGGATTTGGAGATATTACTAACCTGCAATGATGCCATTTGTTTTTGCCACATCTCCTCCATCGACCTCATCCTGACCTCATAATCTGACCATCGGGACTCCAATTGATTTACTTGCTCCTTTAGGGCAGCATTTTCCTTTTCCTTCTCTTCAAGGGTTGCCTCAGCCACCAAAACCCGCCTTTCGAGGTCTTCGACAACAGAAGGTAAAATTTCTGCAGGCAAGTCCTGCTGAGATAAAAAGAAATGAGCTTACTACAGAGTCACTCTTACTCTCAAAAGTCAAAGTGAAGCATTTTATACGCTACTTAGTTGCCTCCAGAGTGTGCAGATTAGTTCCTAAAATTAGACTCCACTTTGCGCAACAGCCACGGGGAGTTAGAACATACAAAAGAGAGTGAATTATAAGTTAGAGAAAAGGGGTTTGGGATCCATCATTTACTCTTCACCAACTGTCATTTTTCCTTCTTTTTGGCTGCTAATTAATTAATTATTTGGGGCTGCATATTAGGCTATAGGATCAACTTCTAAACAAAAAAAGGCCTTCCTATCCATTGAAAAATACATAGTTTTCTCACTTGTTTTTACCTTAATTTAAAGGATCAAACACTCAACAATATCAAGATTGAGTATTTCATCCTCTTGAGGAAGGATAAAACATTAAGAAGAAACATTTTTTATTTTTCATATAGGAAAAGTATTAGAACACCTACAATTGGATTTGCTAAAAGGGGGGGGGAAAAGATACCTAAAACTGGCTTCACGCAACAGGCCACCAAATTCTTAAAGATATTAATCCTGAAGCAGATACTAGAATTCTGAATGAAGAAAGAAGACAAGTTACAATAGAACTTATGGAAAAACTTTTTAGTAGAAAGATAAACTATTTCATGCTAGGGACCATCTAGATAAACAGAAGTTGACGCAAGAGAGCTTGCACATAAAGATATTGATGATCGTCTACCGAACAGATTACCTTCACCTCCGTAGTCTTTTTGGCTGGTTTTGGTCTGTCTTGAATTAACTTTTTCGACTTCTGCAGTTGATTAAGATGCCTCTGAGCCAACCAGCAACGAATAGCTGCAAGAAAAGAAAAGTTAGGCAAATAAATCCATATTTGAATTTCATAACCTTAGATGCCAAAAGAAAAAACTTTACCTGATTGTATCTGCAGAACAGCCACCAGCTGCTCATCATTTTCTTTATTAGCATCTTTCTGTTTAGACTCCAGAGAATCCTTATACTGCCTTCGAGCAATTTCACCACGAACAACTACAATAAAATATTTTGACATCATATTACCAAGTACTACCTTGAATTAAAAATTCTAGAAAATTCCATGACGTCAACTTATTCCCACTAAAAAGAAAGGAAGGAAGAAAGAAAGAAATGAGAGAAAGGAGTTTGGCTATGGAATCACTGGTTTCTCAAGAACTTGAAGTTATCGACTAAATAATTTGAAAAGAGCAGTTATTATTTTTTTAAACTGAAAAAAAGAAATTGTTTGAAATAAACAGAATTAATATACAAATAAAACTGGCGAGAGAAAATTCTGTTCATTAATAGCTTCTTTGAAGGTTGAACAACATTCTTTCTAAAAATAAACTGCTGTAAAACGTTCAGCCTTACATGATTGAAGTATGATCACTACTCCTTTGAGCTCATGGAAATGACGACGAGCATGAGGACCACTGTAGCACTTCTGCACCTCAAGAGTGCCTTGCAGAACTTGTTTCCTCACATCCTCCAGCACAGAAATCTACATGTCGCCATGATAGAAGTTCAGAATATCGATACACTAGAAAATTCATTCTTTAGTAACATGCACAACCATTGCCTCACTAGAAGTCCAAATTTAGCCATACTAATCATAGAAAAATTATTAGCACAGTTTATGTCATTTTTCATTATTCTAATATCATGGAACTAATTGCAGAAAAATTTGAGGTCAAATGT